CTGCTAGCCCTTTGGGCACTCCAAGTAGACTTGGTGATTACAATTTCATTTTCTCTTCCACAGACATTATTTGGATTGCAACATTATTTGGATTACAAAGATTGCAAGGACATGTTTAAACAAAGCTTGATTCTGGAATTGAAAAAAAATCCTCGTGTGTTCACTTTATTAATAATGAGTATTCCTACCACATCTGCCTTCCTAATTCTTAAAGATCTTATCAAGGGATAACCATGGTGGGACATTTCAAAGCATATATGTGTGTTGAGAACATGAATCTCATTGAAAGACATATGCATTGCACAACTCATGGGCACATTTCTGAAAACAGTGTCACAGATGTTTCACAGGTGAGAAACTATGGCCCATAGATGAATGCTTAGTAAGTCTTGTTTTTAAAAAAGAGTTTTAGTTTTATTTGATGGATACCTTGCAGAGCCTAGTTTGGTTAAAAAGGAAGATTTTGAAAGTATCAGAGAATTACCCCTTGATGCCATCACTTAAAACATGATGGTTACTGCTTCACTTTTGCCATGCTGACTCAGAGCCCAGTTATCATTTTATGCATTCTTTGTTTTATGATGGCACCTCTGTTTCCTATCCTGCTGTAAGACCTCATAATATTAAACCTCGTTCAAACACGGAGTAAAAAATACCTTCCTTCAAAGATTTTACACCTTAATAGTAAGGGCAAAAAATGGGTGTAAGGGAAGAAATAAGTAGATGATGAAATCAGTTAGTAATGCGGGTAGTGGTTTCAGCACTCAGCATGGTGGATTTTTTTGCAGAGAATATTTTTAGTACACATCAGAGTCAGGGTGTTTTTCAAAGAATTTGAAGAATGGCAATGAAATATCTGTTGATGTTCATGGAGACCATCTGTGAAACATAAGAGCATAGGAGGAAACATGAAGATGTTGGTCTGAAAATCTGACAAGTGGGTGAGATAAGATGGCTCAGTCAGAGGTGAGCAATGGAGGGTAGAAAAGAAATATACCATTGCAGGCCTTGAAACAAAGCTTGCCTGTGCTCGAGGAGAGGAGGAGGTGGAGCCAGTGGAGGCACATGAATTGCTGGGTGCCGCTGTCAAAATGAAGAACTGATGGAATTCACTGTGCTGCCCAAATTTGTCTGTAGTGTAAGTTGACCAGCACATTGGTGAACGTTTGCTATGTGGATAGGTAGCCTTTTTCTACATATTCTTCTAAAAGAATCTTCAAATGCTGTGTTAAAGCTGTGGGACTATCTAGAGAAAAATAGAAATCAAACATTGCATGTGAATTGGAGCTGTAGTGTGATGTCCACCATTACTGAGATAATGGAGAGAAAAAAGAAGCCCACGATAGCCATGCTAAGCTTGATCTGAAAGCTAAAGCTTGCAGGGAAATGCTGGAAGGCAAGATCGAGATTATAATAAAGAAAGATCAATTTGAAGTACGTGCATTGTTTGAAATCAGAACCAAGTGCAGGAGTAAGTGTGAAAGCTCACCTGTGAAGGAAGGATTGTTAATTAAACATATCTAATCAGAAATTCCATTTTCTCCAGATTTATCTAGCAGAAAGTGGCTCCACTTTCCTGGATGTCTTTGGTTAGGAGTGTCACATTTTATATCTCCTTTGGCTTATGCAGTGAATTCATTACTTAGATGTACATTTGATGGGAAGAGTGAAATGCCATGCTGAGCAACAGGTTCCATAGGGATGGTGTGACATTTAACCTATTTACAAAATACACAGTGTGTTCATCACCTGGCTTTACTTTTAAAGCTGAGCCACCAGCCATTGTGTAGAAGCTCAGGAAATACTTTGAACGCAAGATAAATACTGTTTCTTAAAACTACACTGCAAACACTGTTTGCCTGCCTTCCCACTAGTCCTGGAGTTACTGGTTTTATCCTACAGTTCGCTCTCCTGAGGGCACACACTGTAAGTTAGTTTTAGAACAGTAAATGTAGCCTATGTCTAAGAATACCTTCTATTTCTGGTCGATTGGACATTTCAGCTTTTAAGTATTTTAGATTCAAAAATGTGACACAGACATAATAATAAGAGATACCTGAAAGCAACTTATCAGTTCTCATTAAGGAAACAATTGTCCTCTATTGGAGAGGGCAATGCAGCTATCGCCACTTTATCAGCACATAGCACTGCAATTTAGCTACAAAAAGAAATAATAAAGAAGGGAGGAACAAAGAGGTGAAGGCAAAAAAAAAAAGCAAGGAGGTGAAGCCTGCTTCCAGCTGACAGTTCTGTGCTTTCCATGCACTTTAAAAATAAAACTATCCAACTTGCAGTGGTATTGCTTAAATGGCTTTACTGAGGCTCTTGCATTTTTAACTAAATACAGTCAAGACAGGATCCAGTTTGCATCTTAGGATTTGTAGATTGATATATCTGCATTAAGTTGTCTGACTATGAACCTGGTATTTAAGCTCCCATTCTTATGTGAAGAGACACAGTTAATTCAGTTGGTGAAACCCAGAGAGCTTTTCAGCTTATTCCAAAGCAGATACCTCCACTGACCACCTGCATAGCTCTCAAGGCTTCACTGGGCTCATGGAGTTGCCTGAAGATAGGTGTCTAATTCTGTTCAGCATTTCCTACGCTATTGGAGATATCTGCACAGAGCGAGCACATATAAAACAGGACTTAAAGGGGACATATGCCATTCTGATCAAGCCAGGTATCATAGTCCACAACATCTGAAAAGAGATTGGACACGTCTATTTAAACTCCTAAGTCCTGGCCTATGTCTCTGTTTTTCATAATGGGAGCTTAGCTTAAGCACCTTCTTGTAGACACCTAAATATAGGTGTCTTAATCTGCAAGCTGCATCCTACGTTAGCAGCATTAGATAAATGAACTAATGCTTGTGTTAAGAATGTGGCTGTTTGCTCCAGTGCACCTGATAATGCTTGTGTGTAATGTGATGAGTTTAAAGCACTGATTTCTCAGCCTTATATATAAAGTGTGTTCCAGGCATATATATATTGCTAAATTTCTTCATAACTTGTAACGAGTCAATCATTAATGCTAATTATGCATACCTTTTAAAGTCCTGCTTTAACTGCAAGACTTGAGTAGGCTATGGCGTTATTAGAATGATGCCAGTTTGACAGTGACTGTGATTGTGTCTGCACAGAGGGCACTGGCGTGACATTGTCCTTTCTTTTATAAAAGCCATTCATTGCTCTGCCGCCTCCTTAAATTTAGGAATTGATCCAAGTATGAATTCTTAAAGCCCATTACGCCACTGCTTCCACTGATTCACAAATGCATCTGGACAAAGCTGCACTTGAACAAGCATTAGCACTTAACTCACGGACCCTGTGTGCTGGCTGTGAAAGCTATCAATTTTTTGGGTTTAGTTATGTTCAGAAGTAGAAGTGGGGAAAAAAATGATGCTTGTTACTGCACTATATTGCTAGAGCCTTCATGGAGGTGAACAATTCTGCTAACACCACTTCGCTATTTATGGCAACACTTCACTGATTTCATGGTATTCATTATTCTGTATGGCTTTTACTCCTACCCATCACTCAGGAATGGCAGCATGTAGGTTCTCGCTATTGTGTACTTTGTCCCATGCCATTGTTGGTGCTGTGCGAGGGAGCGGGTGCACGGGGAGCAGAGGTGTGAGTCCAGGCTATGCTGGCTAATTCCTGCTCTAACCCCTTCAATAAGGAACCATCATCAGGTTTCTTACTGTCTCTCCAAAGTGGGGTGATGCTTTTTGTTTTCTCACATTAAAGGAACTTAGTATGAAGAGAGGTTTCCCCACAGATGGCTGATGGAGAACTTCTCCTCTGTATTTTAGTGCAGAATTAACTTTCTCGTGTAAATCGGTGCTATTGGTGACCCAAGTTCACACATCATGCTCCATACCTGGGTGGAGGTTTATTCACTGTTTTTGTATTTATGGGAAAGTGGGAAGTAAAGCCATCAAATGATCCCCAGACCTCATAAAAGCAGAAGATATTTTGATATTCTCATTTAGTTTGCTATGACCTTAAATGACTACTAGTGCAGGATGTTGAGGCTGTCTCTTTCCTAACTGTATGAAGAAACTCCATATTACCCTTACGTCAGAACAGATTTACTTAAAAGAACAAACACACATATACAAAGTAGGAGGGAGGTAAACTAGTTAAAGTGTCTCCATTTTAAGATTAGATAAGAGATTTCTGTATCTGTAGTAAGAACAAGTAGCAGTATGATCTCCATAGTGAGCCAGAGGAGGGAAGAGCCCTTTGCAGTGTTAGTGAGTGCCTTGGGTGGCAGGGCTGCCTGGCCGGTTGGGCTGCCTGATGTCTTCTGCAACGGCAGGGTCAGTGTTTGAGGTTACCTTATGTGCACTGTCTTTTTTACACCTTGAAAAAGAGCTTTGTGCGCTGCCCACAGGTGGAGAAGAAGAGACTGAGACACCTGAGGTGTCTCATAGCCACATGGCCAGGAGAAGGAAACCACAGACTTGAATGTCTTTTGTCCCATGGCTTTCAGGCCTACCTGAAAGATCTCCTGCAGCAGCTGTGCACCTCTGAAACTGATGCTTTTATTATTTTCCCCTCAGTGTTTCTAAAGCCTTTGGCATGTGGTTTTGTTGTTAGAAGGATGCGTTTAATCCCCTTGTCCTGTATAATCATGATGTTGTACTTCAGTAGCAACACCTCAATTATTTTTGTTTGTTCGTCTCGACACGCCGTTCCCAAAAAGTCATTTGCCATGGGAAGGTGTGGCACTGCTTTCTTCACAAAACTTCTGTCACACAGCAGCAATTTAAGGTGCATGATTTTTGGGTGAGGTTTTTTAGGATTTTTATAAATATATGTGATTTCCAGAAAGTATTTCATTCCTGACAATATGGGTAGGGACTGAGGTAAGTAATGGTGGTTAGCATTTCGTACAGATCGAAACAATTTTTTGAAAATTTTCGATCAAAATTAATTTTGTTGTTAGGTTTATATTGCTGGTTCTCAGTGTGACCCAATAAAGAAGGAAAAACTCTAAATATGCAAATGAGGAGAAAATATTTCTTCTGGTTATTTCAATGATTCAGAAGCTAGGTTCACCTGCCTTAAAGAATATAAAGGCTTGAGGGCAAGTGAATTACGCAGTACTATAGTGTGGAGACAGAGCAGTTAAATGAAGACATTTTATTTGATTTAAGAGTATGAATTATTAATCACAATCTGAATAGAAGAAAATTTATGGATTCAGTCTGTCTTTTATGCACCTATGAGATTTTACCGCAAGTATGTTTTTTAGCCAACCAGCCACTTCTCCACAAAATCGAAGCAAACTTGACTTTGCTGATATTCCAGAGGTTTAAGAAAGAAGGCGTGTTTTGAGTTCCCTTTGTTTTCACAAAGAAATAAGTGCATAATGTCAACTTTTTTTTAAAAGATGCTTTTTAAAGAGTCCATTGAAACATAATTGAGACTGATTGAAGTCAACATGGCATTTTTGGTTGGTCTGTCTTCTACATAAAAATTCTTGTTTCCATAAATGTAAACTCTTAACCCTCTCCAATAAGCAGGCATTGAATAGTTCAGAAATAGTAGTGGAAAGTTTTTACATTGTGTTTTAATTGAAAAATATGAACATATTTCCAAGCATTGTTTTGTTGAATCCAATTTCAAGTTATTAGTCATCCATTTGAATACTTAATTATTAATCATTTAATTAAGTAATTTTAACAGACCTTTCCTACCGTCAACCCTAAGTGCAAGAGACCAGTTTTACCTCTGTCCTTACAGTTACACATAGTATGTAACTACTTTTTAAACGCAAAAAAATAGTAGGAAAGAATTAATTTCATTTCTTTAGGTACTCCTGTTTTTTTTGCCCCTGTGCATCACAGTGTCTAAGGCTCTGTGCTTTGTTAGCTCTAAGCTGAATGCGTTGCTTACTGGGCTTGTCCGCTCATGTTCTTTTCTGGAAGACAGCAGGGTAACGTATCATGCCACTATTACAGATGCAGGTTTGCTTTCTTTTCCTATTGTTTGTTTGAATTTTCCTGCTTAAGGAATTCACTCTTCACTGGAAGTTGTCAAGGAACATTAGTTTCTAGAAGTGTTTATATACAATGCTGCTGTTATACTACCACTGTCATTGAAGGAGCCTTCAAGAAAATACCTATGTTTTTTTAAAAAGCAAATTCACTATGAGAAAGGGATGAATACAACGTTTGAATCTTAAATACTGGATGTTTAGGCCCAGCATACTGAGATGCCGCAGGTATATATGTTATAAGGTGGAGTTATTTTTGTTGTTTTGCTGGAACAGATTACTATTTTCAGCTTGGTTTGGTGCAGTTATTGTTTACTTTCTGGCCCTTGGTAGCTGAAAATGCCTATAGATATTGACATAATTCCCTTCTCACAAGTTATCTAGTTTTCATAGGCAAGTGTTGTGTTGTCATCAGCTGATACCATCCAACCAGATGAGGTTCTAGATAATACGCACTGGCTAAGTCTTCTTAGGAGCTGTTTTTAACCAATTTGCAGGAAAGCTTCAAGATCCATTGCAATGGTGTCTGCCTTTATTAGCACATTAAAATATTTCCTGAATACTACTCTATGAAAGGTCACCTATTTGGGAAAAAAAAACATCACCAAGCTTACTGTCTGTATGCTCTTCTTCTGTAGTCTATGATCCTGGGAAAAGGTTGTCTTAGAGAGAACCAGGAGAATAACCAAAGCAGAAAAGCTGACCAGAGGCAAGTACTCTGTAAGCAATTGACGTGACATGGTTTAGCCACTGAATGCTCATTTTCTATTTCTAGTGTAGGCTGAACTCCTCCTCGTTTTGAAGCTTCTGGAATTCAATCAGAATGAGCTCTTTTTTTTACATTTATTTATTAATGCAGGGGTGGACCAGGCATTACCACAAGAACGTCGAACTCCTGTTACTCCGTCCTCTTCCTCTCGATATCACCGTCGCAGGTCCTCAGGGTCACGGGATGAGCGCTATAGATCAGGTAAGTAGAACTGAAGACTTGGAAGAGAATTTGAAATGGCTGGTTCTATTCTTTGCTTTTTTAAAAAGAATTTTGTTGTAAACTGATGTAGTAGCTATACATGGGAAATATTCATTATACAAATACAGAGACACTGTCCAAGCATGCAGGGGTGGAGTTACAAAGCCAAAGTACATCTGGAATTGAATCTGGCAGCAAATGTGAAGGGCAACAAGAAGGACTTCTACAGGCACATCAGCAGCAAAGGGAAGACTAGGGAAAATGTGGACCCACTGCTGAATGGGACAAGGTAACAAAGGGCATGGAAAAGGACAAGGTACTTAATGTCTTCTTTGCTTGGGTCTTTGCTGGTGAGACTTGCGTTCAGGAGTCCAAGGCCCCTGAGACCCATGGGAAAGTCTCGAGCAGTGAAAACCTACCCTCTGTGAAGGAGGATCAGGACAGGGAACATTTGAACAAACTGAACATGTAGAGTCCATGGGACATGATGGGATGCATCAAGGCATGTAGATGTGGTGCTTATGGTTTAGTGGTGGACTTGGCCATGCTAGGTTTACAGTTGGACTTGATGATCTTAAACGTCCTTGCCAACCTAAATGATTCTATGGTTCTATGATTCTATGATTGCACATCATCATTGTGAAGCCACTCTCAATTCTTTGAAAGGTCGTGGCGATCAGGGGAGGTTGCTGACAACTGGAAGAAAGCAAGATTCATTCCTGGCATCAAGAATGGCAGGAAGTAGGATCTGGTAGACTACAGGCCAGTCAGCCTCACTTGAATCTCTGAGAAGGTGGTGGAGCAAATAGTCCTGGAAACTGTTTTTAAATACATGAAGGACAAGGATGTAATTGGGAGTAATCAGCATGGATTTATGAAGTCCACTTACTAGGCTGGTCAATCCATGCTTGATCAACCTAATAGCCTTCTACAATTAGATGACTGCCATGGAGGGGAGAGCAGTGGATGTTATATGCATTAACTTTAGGCTTTTGACAGTGTCTGTCATAACTTCCTCATTGGCAAACTGGTGAAATATGGATTAGATAAGTGGACAGTGAGGTAGACTGAAAATTGGCTGAAGTGTTAGGCTTAGAGTTATGATCAGCAGCACAAAGTCCAGCTGGACACCAGTCTCTAGTGGTGTACTCTAGGGGTAAATACTGGCTCCAGTGCTTCTTAATAGCTTCATTAGTGACCTTACTGGTGAGAGAGTAAACCTTCACATGTTTGCAGGTGATACCAGATTGGGAGGAGTGGTTGACACACCAAATGGGTGTAATGCCATTCAGAGAGATCTGGACAGGCTGGAGGAGTGGGCAAACAGGAATCTAGAGAAGTTTGAATGGGAAATGCAAAGTCCTGCACCTGGGGAAGGAATAACCCCATGCATTCGGACAGGCTGGGGGCCCACCAGCTGGAAAGCAGCTTGGCAACAAAGTCCTGGTGGTCAACAAGGTAAACATGAGGTAGCAAGGTGCTCTTATGGCAAAGAAGTTCAGCAGCCTGCTGGGCTGCATTAGGAGGAACACTGCCAGCAGGTTGAGGGAAGTGATCCTTCCTCCGCTCAGCACTGGTGAAGCACTTCTGGGGTGCTGGGTCCAGTGCTGGGCTCCCCAGTACCAGAGAGGGATGGATGTACTGGAGTGAGTCCAACAAAAGACCACAAAGATGATTAAGGAATAGAGCCTCTGATAGGTGAGAAGACACTGTGAGACCTGGTGTTGTGCAGCCTGGAGAAGAGAAGGCTCAGGGGGATCTTACCCATGTGTATAAGTACCTGATGGGGGAAGTAAGGAAAATGGAGCCAGACTCTTCTCAGTGGTGCTCAGTGAGAGGACAAGAGACAGAAGGCACAAACTGAAATATGAAAAAGTCAATTTCAGCATAAGAAAAAGATTTTTTACTGTAAGAGTGATCAAGCACTGACACAGGTTGCTCAGAGGGGTTGTGGTGTCTCCATCCTTGGAGATATTCAAAACCCCAATGGACATGGCCCCAGACAATCTGCTGTAGGTGACCCTGCTTTGAGCAGGGAGTTGGACTGCATGATCTCAGGATGTCTCTTCCAATCTCAACCACTGATCTAGAGGTGCCTGCTGACCTCCACCAGTCCGTGGTTCTGTGGCACAGCTGATTTTTTTGTACTGATTCTAGTTTGGTGAATACCATAAGAGAACTATTTAATTTGAAGTACAGCAAGTTGGGAACATCATTATGCCCTAAATAGAAACACTGATTAAGGGAAGATAAAATTAATTTCAGAGCTCAAGAAAAGGGTAAAATCTCATTTCCAAATGAATGGGATCCAAGTCTCTTCATGATGCTGCTCCAGATATAACAAAAAGTAAAGGAAGTGATTGGTTTATAACTGAAGGAAAAGTGAACTCTGAAACTTCTTTACACTTACATTTGAAGGTGTAAACTGCAGGTACTACACCTTAACTGGATGAAGGGTAGGTGTGCTCAGCTGTTGTTGTAACTGCTACAGGGACTGCTGCAGAATAAGCACCCTTCTCAGATGACAGCCAGAGGCCATGGGCTGGTTTGTCTGCTGCTGCCTCTCTTACAGCTGCAGAATAAGGGAGCTATAGACAGCAGCACCCATCAACCATTGTAGCACCCTGCGAACTGAGAGTCAGGAAACAGGGACTGATGGTTGTGGAGGGCGGCAAGGAGCCAACTGTGGAAGTTCTGGATTGTGTTTGAGAGATGCGTCTTGCTGGATGCAGTCAGACTCATTGTGCTGACACAACTGGAAAATTATAGAGAACTCCTTATTAGACCTTTTGTAACATGTCTCTGGTTCATTCCATTAGTCAAAGAGCTTGCCAGTCCCATTTAAAGGAAAATGAAATGATAAATGTTGGCAAAGAAAGTTCACGTCTGTCCAAAGCATTCTGATAAATTTTAAAAACTCCCCTCTCCCCTCAGAAACCTTGGGTTCACACTGTAGATTCTGCCAGTTTTTCGCTGAATAATGGTTATGGAATCTGCATAATAATTCCTTGCTATATGAGCTCCTAGAAACTTTC